TGAAAGATATATAGCATGGGATTACTTAAATCAAATTATAATTTAGAAAAGCAGAGAAATTAAATTAATAATAAACTTAGACTTCTTACGATTTGTTGTCACTCTTAGAGTAATAAGTTAAATAATAATTGAGAGGATAATCATAATTTAATAATAATTAAGAATATCATTTAAATTAAAACATTTATTTAAAATAAATTAATGTATAAAATGGATAAATTAACAGTGATTTAAATAATGTTCGAAATTCAAATTCTAATGTATATGCACATACAAGAATTCATGATCAAGAAACTAATAATGAAATTTTATAATTAGAAATGTAAAAGGAAACTTCAACTATTGATTATCAAGACTTATTAAAATAATAATAAAATTTATATCAAAATTATAGAATTTCATTAGATAGATCAATTTTTTATTTATTAAAAAATTTTCCAGATTTATTTACATTTAACGAATAAGAATCTGATTTTGAAGACAATTAAAGAAGTTAAATAGTTTTAGAAAATGGATTATTATTGGGTTTAGGAAGCTCAGGATAAGTTTATTATACAGTTAATCCAAAAACTAATAAACCTGCTGCATTAAAAGTATAATCAAATTGTACTTTTGATGATATAATTTACAAAACTATTGAATGTAGATTACAATATTCAATTTCATTGAAATATCCAGAATCTATTATAGGAATATAAGGTAAAATTATAATTAGATAAAATTCTTTCAATAATTATAATATGTATGCCTATTTAGATCTAGGTCTAGGTAGTTTAAGATATTTTAGAAATAAAATGGTTAGATTTACAGAAACATAACTCGATAATATATATAATTCCATATTAGATAGTATAATTAAACTACATACTCTTAAGATATCTCATGGAGATATTAAATTGGAAAACATCATTAATACAACAGATAATGGATGGGTTTTGGGTGATTTTGGCAGTGCATAAGCTTATTTAACTCCTTATGGAAATTATCCAATTGTTGGAACTATGGCTTATTTACCTAAATAAATCAGAAAAGCCAGAAATAATAATCATTAATACTTTAAAATGAATTTATTCAAAAAAGACATTTATGCATTTCAATTAGTAATGCTATAACTTATTTTTTATGAAGAGAAGTTTTCTAAGCTGCAATAAATATTAGATGAATAAAAATATATTCATCCAAAAATTGATCAATTATATAATAAAGATTTTATTTCTATTAAAGCTGAATTTATGAAATTGAAATTCGAAAGAAAATAATCAATTAAAGAATTAATACCCATCCATGTTCAAGTTTATTAAAATTTTAATTTAAATTACTAATATGAAGTTGAATTAAATTAATACATCTATTTGAGTAATTTTGCAAAAGAAAAAAAATTAAATAAATTTTTGTATATTTTACTAAAAATATAAAATATTGAAAATCTTGAAAATAGAGTGAAGCAAATGAGAATAGCCAAAAAATTTTATAGAAAGTATACTCCTTTGATATCAGCTTAAGAGATTTTTGATGAGATTGTATTTGAGTAATTAACAGAATTAGAATATGATTTATACTTTGATATTTTTGAAATAAAAGGAGCTAAAATGTTACAATTAATGATTTGTTAAGGTTATTAATAAATATAAAAAAAAGAAAATTACAGCCTAAAATTATAAGAGGCTGAGATTCTTTATGTAATGGGTGATTGGGATGATGCAAGAATTATCATAAATGGCATTGAAAATGAATTAGAATTAGATAATGATGAATAAATTTTAAAGTTTTGTTTTTTAAATGCAAGATTAAATAATCAATGGATAGAAGCATTTGAGGATATCATTACATATATTAGTAATTATAAAGAGCCCTTTTAAATGGTAATTGAATGGCAATTTATCATATTGGATTCGCTTTGGATTGATAAGTCATTAAAATAAATAAATATAATGTATTTAAAATATTAAGTTTGGTAACCAGAAAAATTTAAAAGAAAATTAAATTTAACAAATTACCTTCCTTAATTGTTGTTTGACTTTAATAGTTTTGAAATATTTAAAAAATAAGAGATTACATTTCATTCATTTATGGAATAAATGAGATAGTTCAATTATGATAATTACTCTATTTTTTTTCAATTCTGGGCATATTGTGAATTATGTGATTATAATTCTGAAAACTATTATGATCTAATCACATTATTTATAAATTTTATAGAGGATAACTTAGAAGAATATTATTTTATTTGGATTGCATATGATTAATTTGCTTAATATCTTACTTATATAAAAGATTATAAATTGGCACATTAATATTTTGAGAAAGCATTAAAAATAGTTTAAAATGATTGTCCTTTAAATTAATATAATGTTTATTACCATTTATGGAGATTAGAATTTAAAGAAAAATAATAATGTAATTGGGATATATTTGGTACCATATTGAAGATTTTATTGAATATGCCAAAAACAAACTTATATGATTATCTTGAAAAATTTTTATTTGATGAATTAAATTCTTAAGTTAAATTATTTAATTTTAAACTTGATACACAACCATTTGTATAGTAAATATTATCAGAAGAAGATATCAGAACACTTAGTTTAAACTCAGAATTAATGAGAAGATATTTTAAAAAAAATATTAGTTTTTAAGAATGTATGTCTATTATTGAAGATTTATTTCCATAAGTTTATATAAGATCAGGAAATAATCATAACTTTGATGAATTTTTAATTTTTTCATTTGCAAATTTGACTAAAATGAAAACTGAAAGTAAATTTTCACAAAAACAGTTTTAATATCTTGTAAGATTATTGTAGTCATTTACAATATTATCATCAATTAATCCAAATAGCTAAATTTTCTAAAAATTAATTAATGAACATATTGAATTTAAGTCTTACATTAAAAAGTGTTTATTCTATTTTGATGTAGAAAGGTCAAAAGAAGCATTTAACATGTACAATTCTTATTTGTATCATCAAATATACTATTGATTAATAAATTTACAAAAAAGACAAATAAAAATATCACAATGTTTTTATTATTATCATTTAATATTAAATTTTTTAAGAAGTTATTTATAATTTTATTAGTTATTTTTAATATAATTCATTTAATAAATAATAATTATTATTAATTATTGATATTCTATTATACTTAATGTTATTATTCTAAATGAAAGTTTGAATATTCTCAATAATAAGAGGTTAAAGTAACACATATGCTTATTTGAATATTCTGATATTTGTTGGAATTAATTTTTATGATTTTAGACATAAGATAGATCACTATCTAAAATGATTTTATTTAGAACTTAAACCGAATCATCTAGATACCCAGAAATACTATATAATTTCATTATGAATTAATTATCTTATTTTAAGTGAACTCAAGATTTAAAATAATATTTATTTATCAAACTTATTTTGATAAAATACAATATTTTTTTTTAATTTTAACTAAATGTAAAAAGTTAAAATTAAGTATGACTAATTTATCATAAAAAAGAATCTTAACATCATTTAAAAATAGGTTTATCATTATAACATTTATATCAGCATTAAGAAGCCATTAAATGCTATGATGAGGCTTTAAAAATCAATCCGAATTGTAGCGAGACATGTTATAATAAGGGTAATAAAATCTAAAATATTTTTAATATTTTAGGCAATGCTTTATTATAGAAAAGATTCAATCATCGAAGATTAAGAATTTATAATAAAGCTATAGAGATTAATCAAAAATATAGTGAAGCTTACTATAATAAAGATAATTGAGTTCTGTCATATATTTAATTTAGTTGTTTTATTAAAGAACTTGAATCATTACTAGGAAGCAATTAAATCTTATAATAAAGCTTTATAAATTGATCAAAAACTAAACTAAGAACAATATTAATTAGTCTAATTGAAATTAATAATAAATTTTTGTTATTTACTTTTCTAATAATATATATATCACAATTTATTTATTTATGATTTTAGAAATTTAATCATTGTAAATATGATATGAACTTCTTTATATTTAGTAATCTTCATTTAAATAAAAACAGATAAAATAACAAATAAATCCATAAAAATAGCAAAATTGTTATTGTTATCTTAATAAAAGCCAAAAAGGATATCAAATTAAAAATAATGATAGTTGATTATCATTTATTCATCTTTATTGCTTATTATTTAAGTCTAAGTTAATTCATACATTACATAAATAATTATAATTATATTTTATTTTATAAAAAACTTATTAATGAATTAATTGATATACTAATTTAAAAAATTTTTATCAGTAATGAATAGAATTTTTCTTCTTAAATTGCACTTATATCTATGTGAATTATATATTATATTAATGAATTAGAATAAATTATATGAACCTAAGGTTTGCGAAAAGGAATAAAAACTTTATAATATGAAATAAGACAGCTATAAAAATATAAATATTTTTGTTTGTTACGACTTAACAAATAAAGCATTGATACCGTTGAAATTTGCAAAATATTCAACCAAGATATAACCTGGTTTGTACATAGTAGAATTAGAATTAATATATTCTAGTGAAGAATAGAATGATCCAATAGAACTGGAATACGTTTTTTCAATTAATGAAAATGCAGTTGTTACTAAAATGGTTGTAGAATTAGGAGAAATTAAAGTTTATGGTGTAGTGAAGGAAAAGGAGGAAGCTAAATAAGAGTATGAAGAAGGTTTACAACAAGGAAAAACAATGGCATATAGTGAATAGGATATGAGATTTCCTTAAATAAAAAGAGTGAAAATAGGATAGCTTGCACCAAATAAGCAATTGAAAATTACTTTTGAATATATATAACCTTTAGAAGTTTTTCTTAATAAATTTTGGAAATTAGATTTATTCCCTATTGTTGATTAAAATTATGTATCTTAGAATAGAAAAACAATGATTGGTATTCATGACATAGAGATTTATGAATATTTAAATAGATTATTTAAGATTAATGATTTCAAGTTTTAATTTAGATAAGAAATTGAAGTGGAAATAGATTTTGGATCACCTATTACATTTTGGAAATCTCCTACTCATAAACTGTAATCAACAAATGCAAAATAAAGTGAAGATGTTAAATCTTATGGAAATAATAAAAAATTAATACTTGTTTTATAGGATATTCCTGATAATTATGAACCAACGAAATAATTTACATTACTTTTTTCTTCAGATGAAATTAATCTACCTCGTGCCATCCTAAGTCATACCAATAATGATGCCCTATAATATTAAAAATATTGTGCTACCTTAACTTTTATTCCAAAATTTAATGAGATTTCTTTAGATGATGCTTATACACAATATCTAGATGGTTTAAGTATAGCTGAAAATCAAGTAATGAAAAGAGGTAATTACTTATTTATGATTGATCGAAGTGGTTCTATGAGTGGATCAAGAATCAGAAAAGCTAAAGAATCATTAATTCTGTTTCTAAAAAGTTTACCTTAAGATTCTGAGTTTAATATAATATCATTTGGTAGTGATTTTTAATCAATATGGAAAGAATCCAAAAAATATTCATAAACTACATTAGAAACTGCAATTAAGCATGTTGAATAAATGGATGCTGACATGGGAGGAACTTAAATTATTACTCCATTGTAGCAGATGGTATATAATAAAAGTTATGGAGTCTCCAAATTAACTACTTTGAATGTATTCTTGCTTACTGATGGAGAGGATTAAGCTGATCCTATTATTAATATGGTTAAGAATAATAATTTAGCACAAACTAGAATCTACACTTTAGGAATAGGTGAAGGATGTAGTAAATATTTAATAAAAAGGTTGGCTGAAGTTGGAAATGGTAAATATCAAATTGTTAGTGATAGAGAGGATATTAATGAGAAAGTAATTGACTTATTGGAAGATTCATTAACTCCATATTTACAAGCTTTTAATTTAGAATCTAATATAAATAATATAGCCTAGATCATTCCAAATCCAGAATCAATTATTTGTTTGAAAAAAAATTAGGAACTAACAATCTAAATTCTTTTCTCAAATTAATAATAATAGGAGAATCTAGAGTTTAAGATTAATTGTTATGATCCCTAAAATGAAAAACAGATATAATATTCAGTAAAATTAAACTTAAATTAATCTTAAAATAATGAATATTTTCATAAATTGGCTACTTATAAATTTATTACTTATTTTGAGAACTCAATAAAATATGGTTAATAACATGTGAATTTTATTAAACTTAATAAATAGGATATCAATTCAAAAGATATTATTAATTTATCTGTTTAACATCAAATACTGTGTTCTAAAACAGCATTTGTTTGTGAAGTTTGTGATTTAGAGGATTAATTTAAATAATAAATCTAATCAAAAGTATATTTAGTTTAACCTAAATAAGTAAGGTCCGATTCAATTGATAAATATATAATCAAGAGTTCAAATTACAATATATGTAGTTTGAAACTTAATTAAAGTTATTAAGGTCAAAGTTCATCAGGTTGTTGTGGAGGAGGTGGTTCTTAAAAAAATTATGTCAAATCTAACACATATTCTTTACCTCCTTAAAAACAATAAGATCTCAAAAATTAAAGTTCATTATTATAGCAAAATTAAATAGATTAAAATATAGATAAAACAGATAATAATCAACTTACCTATGAATAATTGATCAAATTTGCATAAGCAGATGGTAGTTTTAAAATTAATAAAAATATTTAATCTATTATCAATTTTAAGAACCTGAAAAACCATTAAAATCTAACAGATGATGTTTGGTTTACCTTCCTTATTTTATTATATTTAGAAAATAATTTTAGTCAATTTAAAAAATCATGGTAGTTAGTTTATTAAAAAGGAATATCATATTTAAAATAAAATGGAATAGATTTCAAAGCAAAGAGAAATGAATATAAAATATGATATTTTATATTTAATATATTTTTGTATCGATTATTTTAGTAAAGAATGACATCATTACATCATAATTTCTAATTAAGAAAATTTAATTTTATTACTATAAGGAGATCAAAAAATCTCTTTATTTATGAAATTAAGATTTCAATTTGTATGCCTATTATTATCAACTCTGTTAATTCTTCTAATAATAGTATCAAAAAATTAATCACCAGATCATAATAAAATAAATGACTTACTTTTGTTTATAAGTTTTATTAATAATAAGTTGCTTACAATTTATCCTTTCATAATTTATTTGCAATAATAGAATTACTCCATGATTGAGTATTTTTTAACTTTGCTATTATCATTAAGGACAGTTTATAAATTCAAATTCGTTATTAAAAAGATCTCCTTTTTTTAATTCTAGTTAATTTTAGTTTGCCAAATTTTTCTTTATAAACTATCAAAATTATTTTTTCATTTGAACTCAACATAAAATCAATAATATTAATATCCTCTTCTTTATAGCATTTTATTATGCAAAAAGCATAAATTATTGAACTTATTTTATCTATTATTAAATGTATATTTTTTGAAATGGTAATTATAATTTATTTTCTCATTTTATATATTAATAATATCAATTTTATTTTTAAATAANCTTAAATTAATCTTAAAATAATGAATATTTTCATAAATTGGCTACTTATAAATTTATTACTTATTTTGAGAACTCAATAAAATATGGTTAATAACATGTGAATTTTATTAAACTTAATAAATAGGATATCAATTCAAAAGATATTATTAATTTATCTGTTTAACATCAAATACTGTGTTCTAAAACAGCATTTGTTTGTGAAGTTTGTGATTTAGAGGATTAATTTAAATAATAAATCTAATCAAAAGTATATTTAGTTTAACCTAAATAAGTAAGGTCCGATTCAATTGATAAATATATAATCAAGAGTTCAAATTACAATATATGTAGTTTGAAACTTAATTAAAGTTATTAAGGTCAAAGTTCATCAGGTTGTTGTGGAGGAGGTGGTTCTTAAAAAAATTATGTCAAATCTAACACATATTCTTTACCTCCTTAAAAACAATAAGATCTCAAAAATTAAAGTTCATTATTATAGCAAAATTAAATAGATTAAAATATAGATAAAACAGATAATAATCAACTTACCTATGAATAATTGATCAAATTTGCATAAGCAGATGGTAGTTTTAAAATTAATAAAAATATTTAATCTATTATCAATTTTAAGAACCTGAAAAACCATTAAAATCTAACAGATGATGTTTGGTTTACCTTCCTTATTTTATTATATTTAGAAAATAATTTTAGTCAATTTAAAAAATCATGGTAGTTAGTTTATTAAAAAGGAATATCATATTTAAAATAAAATGGAATAGATTTCAAAGCAAAGAGAAATGAATATAAAATATGATATTTTATATTTAATATATTTTTGTATCGATTATTTTAGTAAAGAATGACATCATTACATCATAATTTCTAATTAAGAAAATTTAATTTTATTACTATAAGGAGATCAAAAAATCTCTTTATTTATGAAATTAAGATTTCAATTTGTATGCCTATTATTATCAACTCTGTTAATTCTTCTAATAATAGTATCAAAAAATTAATCACCAGATCATAATAAAATAAATGACTTACTTTTGTTTATAAGTTTTATTAATAATAAGTTGCTTACAATTTATCCTTTCATAATTTATTTGCAATAATAGAATTACTCCATGATTGAGTATTTTTTAACTTTGCTATTATCATTAAGGACAGTTTATAAATTCAAATTCGTTATTAAAAAGATCTCCTTTTTTTAATTCTAGTTAATTTTAGTTTGCCAAATTTTTCTTTATAAACTATCAAAATTATTTTTTCATTTGAACTCAACATAAAATCAATAATATTAATATCCTCTTCTTTATAGCATTTTATTATGCAAAAAGCATAAATTATTGAACTTATTTTATCTATTATTAAATGTATATTTTTTGAAATGGTAATTATAATTTATTTTCTCATTTTATATATTAATAATATCAATTTTATTTTTAAATAATCAACTGATCTAGGAAAATTAAACAAAAATTAAAAAAATAAATTACTTAACAAACACACTTTTAAATATCTTTTGGACTTAAATATTTGGAGAATTGGATTGTATTATTAACTAATTAAGTTGCAAGTGAAATGTTTAAATCATTCTGAGAAAATTTAATTAATATATTCTGTAAAGAATAACATTGCTATATCACCTTATTATTCAATCAGAAGGATAATAAATGTTCTTTAAGTTTAAATTTATTTGAACTGTCCTGGTTTGTCTATTGTTATAAGGGATTCAAATGTTTAAACTTACAATTTACACTGATGATTTACAAGAGTTTTTTTTATTTTCTAGTATAAAAGATTTATGACTCATTTTATCAAAATTACTTGTAGAAATTCCTATGTAGTTGTGCTTTACTTAGGATGTTGTAACATTTGATTTATATAAATTTTTATTAATTCAACTACGTATTCTCCAAATAAATCAATTAATTTAAGATTAATTAATTTCATTATATCTTTTTTTAGTTTGATGGTTATAAATATTATAACACTTATCAAATAAGATTATAGTTAATAGTGGTTCAGAATAAATATAAAAATTGAAGAAATAAATGTAGGTTAGTTTTATTGAAATAAATTTGCAATACTTAGTCTTTAAATAAATATCTTCTAAAAATATTTTTGAAATTTCTGGAATAGCTGATAAAAAATATAAAATGCAGCTTTTTTAAACTTTATAAAATAATTTTAGTATCATTTATATTAATAAATTTTAATTTGTAACATACTATTCGAACTTGGTTTATTTGAATATGATATATGTGTTTATAAAGTAATTTACTCAAGTGAATAGAAAATTAATAAAATACTTAGTTTTAATTCAAATAATTGGTGGATATATTTGAAATTTTAAATTAATAATATAATTTAATTTTTCTCAATTAATAATAGTTAAAATATCTTTTTGTAATTATTCTATTAAAATGCATTAAATGTTTATAAATAAAATAAAAGCTATATATTTGTTAAAATTATGCAATATTAGTATTAATATAGTATTAATATAGATAGTATATTAATAATATGATTGTATTTGTACTTTGATTTAATAAATATCAATTGTTAGAGAAAGTGCGATACAACTGTAAAAATGTTTTTCTTAAATTGCATAATATTANTAGGAAAATTAAACAAAAATTAAAAAAATAAATTACTTAACAAACACACTTTTAAATATCTTTTGGACTTAAATATTTGGAGAATTGGATTGTATTATTAACTAATTAAGTTGCAAGTGAAATGTTTAAATCATTCTGAGAAAATTTAATTAATATATTCTGTAAAGAATAACATTGCTATATCACCTTATTATTCAATCAGAAGGATAATAAATGTTCTTTAAGTTTAAATTTATTTGAACTGTCCTGGTTTGTCTATTGTTATAAGGGATTCAAATGTTTAAACTTACAATTTACACTGATGATTTACAAGAGTTTTTTTTATTTTCTAGTATAAAAGATTTATGACTCATTTTATCAAAATTACTTGTAGAAATTCCTATGTAGTTGTGCTTTACTTAGGATGTTGTAACATTTGATTTATATAAATTTTTATTAATTCAACTACGTATTCTCCAAATAAATCAATTAATTTAAGATTAATTAATTTCATTATATCTTTTTTTAGTTTGATGGTTATAAATATTATAACACTTATCAAATAAGATTATAGTTAATAGTGGTTCAGAATAAATATAAAAATTGAAGAAATAAATGTAGGTTAGTTTTATTGAAATAAATTTGCAATACTTAGTCTTTAAATAAATATCTTCTAAAAATATTTTTGAAATTTCTGGAATAGCTGATAAAAAATATAAAATGCAGCTTTTTTAAACTTTATAAAATAATTTTAGTATCATTTATATTAATAAATTTTAATTTGTAACATACTATTCGAACTTGGTTTATTTGAATATGATATATGTGTTTATAAAGTAATTTACTCAAGTGAATAGAAAATTAATAAAATACTTAGTTTTAATTCAAATAATTGGTGGATATATTTGAAATTTTAAATTAATAATATAATTTAATTTTTCTCAATTAATAATAGTTAAAATATCTTTTTGTAATTATTCTATTAAAATGCATTAAATGTTTATAAATAAAATAAAAGCTATATATTTGTTAAAATTATGCAATATTAGTATTAATATAGTATTAATATAGATAGTATATTAATAATATGATTGTATTTGTACTTTGATTTAATAAATATCAATTGTTAGAGAAAGTGCGATACAACTGTAAAAATGTTTTTCTTAAATTGCATAATATTAGCTATTTGTCAATTTTTTCATTTTTTAAAAGCTTCCATTTATAATTCTAAATATTTAATTTTTTTGATGTTAATTAATATCAAATAATTAAGTTCAAAAGTTTAGTTTATTGGGAATCTGTTGTTTATAATAAAATATCTTTATATATTTTGATTTACTATTTAACCAGAGAAAAGAAAAATAAAATTATAAAATATTGTTAGATTAATACTTATAAAAAAAAAATAGAAATCAAAAGTTTATGAATAAATTAATAATATCAAATAGTATAAAATATATTAGAATATAATAAATAAGTTATTCAAATAATTATCTATTCTTCTTTGTATTTTCGTAATTATATCTGTTAGGAATAATCATCCCATGTTATTAAATATTCAGCATTTCTATCTAATGCTCCATATATGTATTCACTACCAAATTTGATGGATTCCTAACTTTGAATTGATAGATTTGGCATAATCCTGAATAAATTAATAAATTATCCATTCTTGTTTATTAAAATAGATTTCTATTAAATATATTGCTATGGGAATAATGCATCGCATTAAGTACTTGTTTTTACAGGAACCTAATTTATTTAGGTAAATAATTTAGTTTCTTGATTTATTTCATAAATTTCCATGAATTTAGATAGATTAGATTAAAATGTAAAACTTTTGTTGTCTATAAAGCATAGTCTATATCCCCAAAGTTATATTTCTATTTTTTAATAAATATTCCATAAATTATGTTTATTTTAATACACAATAAGATAATTTTATTCTTCCACACATGAAATCAATATGTTCTGTTCAGGATTCAAACTTATTGATAATATATCTCCTTTATTTTCATTTAATGTTTATTTACATAAGTATTTATTATTTTATTTATCCCAAATTTTAATCATAGAATCACTGTTCCCTGAGAAAATCACATTTTCACTACTATCTATAATTAAACACATCATAATTCCAGTATGTCCTATTAATTTATAACTATTAAACCATTATAATTAATCATTGAGTGACCATATAATAATAGATGTATCTCCACTTCCAGAAACAAATTGATTAGATTTTTTCATAAATTATAAGCAATATACCGCATCTGTATGAATTTTGCAAATTTACTTTTATTTCATCAATTCATTAGTTAATTCATATATCTGAATATCACCATTCTCCAATCCAACTATAATAATAGATGAATCGTTATTGAATGTAAATGAACAACATCTAGTTGATTGATTTATTCTGTTTTCTTAAATTAAAACATATGAAAAGTGTTTAGAATTTAAATTGAAAATATCCTCAGAATTTTTGAAATAATCCTATTGAGATATTTCATATTCTTCACTACAATTTTCCAAACTTAATATAAATTAATTACTTATTTCTTTAAAATATGTTGATAATTTTTATTTTTCTTCATTAAATCTAACAAAATTGCATAAAGCTTCATTAATTTGATTTGAATTTAATTGTTTTAGTACTCCTTAAGATATAGAATATTTAGATAAAATGTCATTTTTAAATTGTTTGAAAACTTGCTCCACTTTTAAAAATTAGAATTCTAAATCATTTACTAATTCATAGCATTATTATGAAATGCCTTTCAAATAATTACAAAGCTCCTAAATTTTCTCAGTATTTTAACTATGACCTGAATGCCTATATTACAATTTTTGGCATTATTCATAGCAATATAATCTTTTCTCTTTACAAAATGGATTTGTACAAAACATATCAACTAAATATTCATGACCACTAGCACATTAAAGTTTAAGCATCTTTTAATAATTTGAAATAATTATTTATCCATAAAGTTTATAAGAAATTATGAAAAAGAAAATAATCATAATCGATAATTAATTGGAAAAGTTTGTTAGGAATGAAATTTTAAATATAAATATACAGGAGAAAAGGCTTTATACTTATTAGTTAGAAATTTCAATGATTCTCAAATTTAAACAATATAAATTCCCATTTATTTCTTTTTCTATCAAAATAGAATTATAATTGCTAAAAATAAACTGCGCAATATATTTTTTAGATTAATATAATTTATAATAAAAAAGAATATATAACCTATTTTGAAGATTATAAAAGCAATTTAAAAAGTATAATTCTTACTGTCTGATCAATATTCTCATTTTATTAATATAAATATTCCTAATTTTTTTTTATTCTCATTATTAAAATACTGTTACTTCTGTTATAATGTTTTGATTTTCTTATTAAATAATTGAAAAGAAAAATACAATAAATGAATCAACAACTTAACTTTCTAATAAAAGAGACATTTGCAATTAATTTTTTATTAACTAAAACATAAATTTAAAGACAAATAACTAAAAAAAAGTAATTAAATCATTGATTATATAAACATTTTATAATATGTTATAAATAAACATTTAATTTAAAATAAGTTTAAAAAATAATAAACTATGAATCGATATAATAAATAAGATATTAAAATTAATTAAAAATTTGTGATTTAAATTGTTATGGTTTGGTTCCAAAAATGAATAATAAGTATAATAAATATGTTTAAAAACCTATCAAAATTTGTATGCTGTTTAGGATTAGTAAATGGAACCTAAATGGCATGTTCTTAATTATAGAATGATCATTCTTATAATAGAATGTAGCATTATAACTTCCTTAGTTAAGATCAATTACATAACTTATTGAATAAACATAAGAACTTATTTATTCTTCGTGAAAACCAGACATAGCATATTCTCTCTATGATTAGAGATGTGAATTCTGATATTGTGGTAATTGAGATATAAGATAAATTTAGACCTTTAGATAGAACTCCGATCGATTGATTAGAATTTTATTAGAGTAAGCTTTAGCTCATATAGAGAAGAAGAACTCTATAAAATAGTCACCTTTGGGATTTTATGATGCAAATTAAGTCAAATTCTCTGATTAAGAGTAGATATTCCATATTTATTTTAGAATATGTATTGTAAGTATTCTTAGATCTGGAAATGCATTCTTAAATGAAGCTTTAAAAGTGATTTAAGGAGCATCAATTGGATAAATATTGATTCAAAGAAATGAAGAAACATCAATGCCAAAGTACTTTTTTGAGAAGCTTCCTGAGAATATTAATGAATAACAAATTATTTTGGTTGATCCAATGCTTGGAACAGGAGGAAGTGCAAGCATGGCATTAAAAATATTATAAAATTATGGTGTTAAGCAAGAAAATATAATATTTTTAAATTTAGTTAGTTGTGAATAAGGGTTGAATAAAGTCTTTAAAGAATATCCAAAAATTAAAATAATAACTGCTCAAGTTGATCCAATATTAATAAAAGAAATTAATTATTTGGCTCCAGGAATCGGAGACTTTGGGGATAGATATTTTGGAACTGTTAAAAAACATACACGTGCCGAATAAGTTTGATATGTTAATTATAAAACATATGAATTATTATTAGAATTATATTTCTATTTATTTATAATTATAATTAGTATATATTAAATATATAGAAATTAACACTTATAGTATTATCTATATAAATAATTAGAAGGTACATAAGTGATAATACTTGAAAATACATCAAATTCAAAATAAAATAATAAGGGCATGAGTAATAAATTCATAATCAGGAATATTTGAAATTGAATTCTAAAAATATCAAATAGATTTAATTTTTCTATTTTTGTATCCTTCTGATTAAAAATTTCTCCAATATTAAACTATCCTTTATTAGCAAATATATCATAATTTTATGTTTTAATTTATAGATAGAATACTTGAATTTTGTTATTATAAAAAATAGTTTGAATTTCTTATTTTATTTGTAATTTATTAATTATAAATTATTATATTAATAAGCGAGAAAAATTTAGAAATTTTATCAAAGTGAGAAACAACCAAATATAGGTTATTGATTACATTAAATCTTCTTAATAAATTTTTATAATGAATAATGATGTATTTTTTTATAAATTGATTCAATCTACATATTTTCTAATTTAAATAGAACCTGATCTATCATCCCAAGTGATTAAGTATTCTCCATCATCTGTCATCCTTCCAAATATAACTTTAGTTTAGAAATCTATTGACTAGATAGTAGCAAATTCATCATTTTCAACTTTCTTGATTAAATTAACACAACATCCATTTTTATTTAATACTATCTATTTTTATTAGACATACTATTAAGGAAAGAACCAAAAACAACCCCTATTCTTTTTTCTTTCACTTCCAACTCCAACTATGACCTCTTTAGTTTTGACGAAATATTTATCAATGCTATCTAACTGATAAATATGCATTTATTCCCTCTTTTCAGGTTGAAAAACTAAGATTTAGTCATTAATGAAACATAATCTTCTGCCCCATTATTTAATTTTTATTATTTAAAATACCATCCACATCTTCTATTCTTAATCATATTAATGGATTAATATTTAACTGTCTTTTGAACAAGAAACTAATTGATTTTCTGTTGTATTTAAACTTATAGAACTTACAAAACTAGAATGTCCTCCTATTGTTTAAGAACATTCCCATAAATCATTATCTTTTATCCAAAATTTGATAAGCATATCATCACTACTTGATATTAAAAGATCTTCATTTCGATTCATCAATAAACAATTTATTCCTCCTTAATGACCTTCTAATCTTTGTTTTATATCCCATTTTTAATTATCGTTTAGATAACAAATAGAGATAGTCTTGTCACAACTTCCAGATAAAAATCCATCTGATTTTTTCATAAAATATTGACAATAGATACTTTTCTTGTGAAAATTCAGCTATTATATCATCTTTAATTATCCTTTTTTAAATTCAAAGACTTATATTTTGCTTGACTCATATCCTCCTACCATCAGAGAAGCATCTTAATTAAAAGCAAATGAGTTTATTTATTCATCCTGGATTGTATCAATCAATTCATATTTTAAAGTTTTCATCTCCTATTTAACTTTTTTGACTGGACGATCAAACTATTGTTATGAGAATTCATTAAGACCAGTATAGATAGTCTCTATCATATATTCTGCACTCTTGGAAATCATTGATATTAGAGATTGTTTCTCTTTTCGAAACTTTATTTTTGAGCAAAGTAAATCATTCAATTGATTTAAATTCAATCCGTTTAACTCTTCCTCACTTATCTAACAACCAAATTTTAATTCTTCCTTTAGTGTAAAAAACAATTAATAAATGTGATCAATCATTTTCTCTAAATCAAAAATTAAATCTTCATCACTTTTATTTATTTATTATCTTCCAAAGTCTTTTATCTTCTAAACATCTTTTATATGAGTATTATGTTTTTCATTCTGTAAACACTTAAAACAAAATACTCTAAAATCTTTGCATTATTCATTTGTGCAAAGGAATTCCACATCTGTCTCATGATCAGGAATATTGCAATTCTAATTCATTATAATTAATTATTAATTTCATTTGTCTTAATCAAATACATCTCTAGATGGATATAAAATTTTGCAACATGTATGGTATTATTTTACTAATTAAAATTTATTCATTTTTCATAATAATCATATAAACTGGAAAATTGATTTTGGAAAATTTTTGATATCTATTTGATTAGTTCATTTCATTATGAATTGATTTATAAAGCTGTAAATAAAATAATAAAGATGAATCCGTAATCTTAAAATTGTAAGAATACATTATCATTCAATTTCTTCATTTCTTTTAAAAAAATGATTCATTATTCTGTTTGAAGATTATAAACTTTTTTTCATAGAAATAGTCTTTTTAATACTTTTGTTAATTTTATTCTTATACTGTAAACTGATATGATGGGAAATATTATTTTGAGGATGTTAAAAAAAATATAAATAATTTATTATACATGATTGATTTAACCACATATATTGAATATATAAATGAATATTTGATTGAATACAATATTCATATTATAGAAATTATAACTAAATTTTGTTACTGCTAAAATTAACGATTATTATTAAGATAAAAAATAAATATATTTATAGATAAGAATTCATAACATTACTAAAATTTTAAATTAAATCTTGTATTTTTAAATTATTATTGTAAAGTTTACTTACCTAAAATCAACGTATTGAAGTTATTTTCTGATTAACCTTATGTATATTAAAAATTTTAAACTGAAACATCTTATTTATTTTAGATGATATAGTTTTTTTGATTATATTGAAATTTGTTTCATTTTAAAGAATAAGAAATTATTTAAGTATATGAAATTATTAATATTCTTTAATATGTAATCATGATTTTTGTTAATATTTATTTATCATTTCTTGCTAATGATCTAGGTGTCTAGATGTGGTTAAGTAACGTATAATAATTCCAGCAGAGAAATGGATTATCATATGATTTTCCAGTTTTATTAAGAGTAAACATATTCTTGCTCAATCAGAATTTTTAGTTTCTTTGATATTTATCAGAATGGATCATTTCTAATGACAAAAAAAAATCCCGTATTTTAGATTTTCCAACTGTGATTATTAGAATACCTTCTTTTTAAGCAGCAGAATTCATCCTTAATAAGCCATTCATTAGGGCTTGATTAAAGAAAGCCTTACTTGCTGATTGGCAGCCGCCATTCTTCAACCTGTATTAAGAACCAGAAAAAAAAATTAATTTTATAATATATAATTAATATTGTATCAAAAATACTAATAATGATAAAATGTTATTAATTTATCTGAAACTTGTTAATATTATATAAAATTATTAATTAATTTTAAACTTTGTATTGAATATTTAAAAAGCATACTTTTTCTGAAATAGTGACATTATAAATTATCTCATACAATTCCCTTATCAAAAAAAGTAAAGAAAATAACCAAATAGGATTCATGATTCCAATAATGAGTAAAATTAATATGTGAGTTCTTTTTAAGTGAGAAATATACCCTTCTTTAAGTAATTCAAGACAAATGAATAAAGGAGCAAATAATTAAAGATATTAGAATTTTATTAAGAAAGCATAGGATAATAATCGCATAAAATTGTTTTAGTTATATAGATATTGTAGCGTAGCTTAAAAGTTCTTCTTATTTAATCTCTGCATATCGACCTGAATTCAATACTGTTGAAACATAAATTTTTTTGGATCAAAAGAAAATTAATAATTTCTTAACCTAGTCTAACAACTTAATTTAAATATCAGATTCGCAGGATAATAAATTAAATTAATGATGAAATTATCTAAGTATGGTGTTGTAATATTTTTAAATCTTGGCTCAAGAAATTTTGTATATTGGATGAATTATTTTATTGTTCTTTGATATTTATAAATTGTATTATTAAATTTATATACTTTCATTATTCACAATCCGATGTTTTTTTAGCAACCATAAAGGAAATTAACAGACTTATTTAGAACACGACATAAAATCTTTCAATTTAAGTGTACGATGAAAAATTTGCTTTTAAAATATGTGTTAATTAATTAAAAATTGAGCGATTATTATAATGAGAGAGCCTCAGATGAGTCAACTTGAAAAGAATGAAGATTAAGTATTATTAAATTTTTTTTATAAGTCTAATTTGATCATAATACTAATTCCCAGTGAGAAAAATTAATTAAAAAATAGATAATTTAATTGTGTGACTAAATATTGATTTAGAATGATATAGTTAAAGGAAGTATAGAATAATGCTCACCTACTATTAGGAATTTTTAGAGAAGGGAAAAAATTATTCTTTAATAACAAAGAAATTCTTTATTAATTTTAAGAAAAAAACTAAAATTTACTTAAAAGAATTTGTGAATTAAAAATTTGATCAGAAGAGGAGAAAATGCAAATAAAAGTAAAAGTCCTAATAAATCATAGGTTCTTGTTCGTATATAAAAAGTATAAAGCAATTGAATATAGTTTATTGAAGATTTCTTGAAAATAAAAATATACAATGAAAACCTAAATAGTTTCAAAAACAATTAAGAAAGGCTTGTTCAGAATAACTGATTAAAAAAAATCAATAATTTCATTCAGATTATAAATAATTCTTATAAAATATAATATATCCCTATCATGACATTTAAAATTAAGCGAGATGCATAAATAAGATATTTTTTGTGAAACATTCTAATATAACAAGTAGAACAGCTTTGCATTTGGAACAAGTACATCTTAAATTAGTAATTGATTTAAATCTTAAATCTAAAGCAAGATAATCCTACTTATTTATCAATAATTTTGAAATTGTATTTTTCTATTATTAATATCAATAAAAAATGTTATTTCAGTGTAAATTATTTGGGTGAATTTTTCCATTGTTAACAAAAATGTGTTACAAATTTATAATCAAGAAAATATGATAACAATAATTACAATATCAGAGGTGCATAGTTGGTATCAGAATATAATTTTAATTTATAATACATATAAATACAAATTATCAGTTTGGTAGATAAAATATACTATTTTTATTTCCCAATATATTTCATTTATATCCAATAATTTCCTAATTTGAAAATTCACGCCAGAGAAAGAGAAAATACGAACTATAAGTGTTTTTTTAAGAGAAAATTGATATGATCAAAAAAAAATAGATAAATATTCATATTATTTGCTGATAACAGCAATATATACAAACTATGATATATTTATTTATTAGGTATGAAAATACGGATTAAATTCAAAATAATTTGAAATAAAATTTAACTTTAGGGTTAATCAATAAACGATTAACTGTTATGAAAGGTTTGCATAAGGACATTTATATTAATTCTTGTATAAAAAATAAGAATTATAAATAAACTTTCATTTATTTTGATATTTTTAATAAATGATAGCAAAATAGGAATTATGCAGTGCTGTTTTATTAAAATTATTTATTTTGTTTTTATGTTCAAATTATGAATTATGCAAAACCTTTTTTTTATAAAATATTTGTTTTCAATATTTTATCCATATTGAGAATTATTTTATAATTTATATGTTTTAATTGCCAATATCAGTTATTATTATAAAATATAATAAATATCAATATAATCAATCAGGTGAGGAAATAAAATATACCATCTTATATCCCTCCTAATATATATATTCGGTAATTCTCATAATAAATTCTGGGTTGAAAAAAATCTTTCTCCAAGCTACCCAATATTGCCTATATTTATATAAAACTCTTTATCACCAGTTTAGAATAAACTCCAAAAAAATGTTGTTAATCGGTGTTTAGGAAATATAAATTTACACCAATTTATTAATTAATACTTAGTTTTATAAAAATTATTCTTCTTTTTAAAAATTTGAAATGGTGAATATAATTTACCTATTTTCACCAATTTATTGATAAATTTAGAAGTATGTATTTTCACCATGGCATTTTATGAAAATATATTGGTGAAATTTTCATTGACATATTCTGTAATGCATTGTAATATATATTGGTAAACTAATATTTCCTATTTTAAAAAACATAAATTAGTATATGTATGGGAAAATAAAAAGGTATATTTTATCTCCTAATCTGAATGAATATTTTAATATTAAATATATTTTAT